TATGTGTCTGAGGCCGAATTTGAACTCAGGTCCTCCTGAATCCAGGGCTGGTGCTCTATCTGCTGCAGAGAATTCTTGATCATGGAAATGAAGCACTTGCAGGTAGTGATAAGATCAAGAGTGTGACCATTTCCATGGAAAAAGGAATTGAGAAGAGGAACTGAGGGAGGTTAAGGTATTTGGGGGAAAATCAATATTTATGTTGAAGTTTCCTATTATGAAGGCAGGAACTGGAATTGAGAGGAATACCATGAGCCAGGCACCGAACTCACTGAAAAAGGAGAGAGAATGTCCTGGAATATAGTTGCTACCAGGATCTGGATTGGATGATAAATTTATATAGAGTGAACCTCAGAGAAGGAAAAGTTGCTGAGTGATGGTGGCAGAGAAATAATCTGGAAGTGGAAACACAGGGCAAGAAGTATTTTGACTATGCCTTTGGGACTACTGAATTGGGGGATATAAGTAATGGTGTAACCAGTACTCGACGGTAAGGTCTGGAATTCAATGTTATTCAAGACAACTTAGTGAGGCCCAGGTCTCAGTGACAGGTAGAAGGTAGAAGAAGCATGAGAGGAAGAGATCTAAAATGAAGGGAAGTTTGTAGAATGGGAGTCCCAGAAGGAACAGTGGAAAGGGCTAGTAGTTATGGAAGAGGGCACTGGGGATGGGGAGGGGAGTGTCCAGGTTGTTGTGGATGAGTCTGGGATTCACTTTTACTTTCTAGGTGGGGAGAGTGAGAAGGGTTTGAAATTTCCTAACCAATGGGGAATGAATGAGTCAGGCAGATAGCATTAGATGGGAGGATTTCTATTGATGAAGGCAGCTGAGTAGAACAGGATGCCCACAGTGACAACCTGGTAGTGCAGACTCAACTCAAATGTCCCTCTAATGCATCCTTGATGGTAGAATAGCAATAGTGGTTTGGGTTGGGTGGTCCTGATGAGGTCTAGAGGTTTAGGGGTGCTGGGACCCTGAGATCACGACACGCAAGTCCTGCCAGAAGAATTCGACCCAAGCCTTCTTTCAGCCAAAGACAAGGTTTATTAAAGATCCGCCATATTAGTCAGACTCTTAAGGAACCTGAGCATCTGTGAGCTATTGGCTAGATTGTAAAAATCTAAGCAGTGGCTAGATTATAAGAATCTGAGCATCTTAATGGAGACAAGATGGACATTATATACAGAAAGACCTTGGGAGGGATGTAGGAGTGGCCAAGCAGTGGGGGGGAGGGACAGGGACGGGGACTGTGAGGTAATAGAAAGCCAGACACCTGGACCATGGCCAAGGGAGAATGGAGCCTAGATAGGATTAAGGGGCGGGAAGTGGCCATAAGGAGGTAAAACAATGGAGGGCTAAACTAGGTTAAGGGTAACAAAATTGGGAGATTGGGCATAGTCACAATGAAAGGCTAGTTGATGGGATTATAGCCTCAGGGGAACAACAGAGATTTGACTTTGTGGGAAAGTCCAGAGATTTTCCTTTCTGGGGTCCAGATCCCAAATCCATCTGTCCTGGTACTATGGGTCCAACTTCAATGTCTCTCCTTCAAGAAGACTTCCTTGATTACCTTCTTCTCTTTACTAAAGCACTTATCTCTTCTAGCCTGATATAGCATTTTGTTTTGTACTTCCTAATCCATTTACCATATTATATAATTTATTATAATTACCTGTAGGTTTATAGGATGTGACCTCTTTGAGAGTGGGATTAAACTTTTACCTTACTAGTTTCTACCTGAATATTATAGATTTAGGGGACATTGCATGTGTTTATTGAATTTTATTTATGTCTGCTATGAAGTTGCAACCTTCATGAGGGCAGGGGAATTTTTTTCTTCTTTAAGTGAAGCAGAAATATTTAGAAACTAATTGGATGTACAGGGAAATTCAATTCAATTCAACCGCTGTGGTCCAGTGTTTTCCACTTATCTGAGTTTGTTTTCTCACCCGTAAAATGAAGGGTTGCACTAGATGATCTCCAGGGTCCTTTCCAGCTCTAAATTTATGGTTCTTTTGTAAAGGTGGGGACCCATTGATTACCGACTTCTTACCAGGGAATGCTTCCTGGTTGAATCAATCAATCAAAACTGGTTATGGTGGGAAGATTCATTCTATTGGATAGAGAAGCTTGGTCACACCCTGAAGAGCTTGTATGAAAGCAGGAGTTGAGAAACAGAAAGATTTTGACGATCTGGAAGAGCAGAGGAAGGAGTGGAGACATCTAGAGCTGAGTTTGAAAGAGCTCACAGCCCAGGGACAGTCAACTGAAGGAGAAAGAGAAAATCTGATTGGGCTGTGGCCAAGAAGGGAGAGATCAAGGAGGGTCATCAGCCCTCTGGGCATCTTGGAGTAGTTGACACCAGCTGACACAAGTTGTACCCAACTCCTCGAGGACTGAGAGAAACTCCAAGAAAAGGTCTGCTCTTTGTATAACTTCTACTCCCTTCCAGGGCCTATCTATTAACATATGCAATAGACTCTTCTTTATCCTAACATTTCTGGTATCCTGAATTTTTCATCAACCATGAAGAGATCAGGGGTTATCCAGAGATAGCTATAAACAATAATTAAGGCAGAGAGCCAAACTTCTGCCAGAATATTAAGTGTTTTCCTAACCTGGTACTCAGAGTGATTATTATTATATTTCTAATTTTTCATTTAATATAAATTCCATAAAGTAGCAGAGGTGGGAACCATGTGGATTGGACGAGCATTATATTTTCCCTAAGCCTAAAATGAGTTATGCTATGATCTTAATTCAAGAAGCACCTTTTTTGGATGAGGATCTATGTTGGGTGCCGGGAAGAGCTAAGACAAAAACAAAGAAGTACCTGCCCTTGTGAAGCTTTATCTTTAATTAGGCATTAGGCCTGCCTAAGTATTTTAGGCTTTGGAGAAAAAACAGGATAGTGCTATTTTTTTAAGAGGTGGGGAAGCTGGGAGTGAAGAGGTCTTCAGAGAGAAAACAACGTAATTCTATGACATTCTGATGTGGCAGCAGGA